GAAGGGGTGGCCAGTAATTGCTTGCGCGGTCGTCAGGCGGCGCCGGCGTGCAGCGCAGCACGGCCCGCAGGCGCCGCAATCCATTAGCCAACGCGCTGCGCGAAATTTTAGCCGGCAGAGGCCTAAAAAATGCGCGCGCCTCGCTCCCGGCGGCGGCGGCCGCCGCGTCTGCGCAATGGCTCGTCTCCCGCCTCGCTGCGGCGCAATTGCGCGACGCGACGGTGGCCCAGCGCCGTGCGGGCGACCCCCACCCCCCACGTGCCGACGCCTCGATTCATGCTCACGTCGCTCGCGGGCGGTGGCCCTCTGACGACGACGCAGCTTCGTACACTTTTTTTTTTTTCGTATGCGGCCACTGGAGGGAAAAACTTGTACGCAGCCAACAGATTCGTGGATGATGCTTACTGATGATGATCCTGATGATGGTAGTGAAAAACGGCTCAGGTACAAACAGGTATTCAGGTTGCGGTGGCAATGTGGACGTTTAAATGCACACGTTTAACGCTTAAGTGCACGCGCCTACTTCTCTAGCCCACCTCCTAGCCAATAGTGAATAACCCCCTCCCCGTACACACACCCATACTCACAGCCACATACACAACAAGAATTTGGCACTTTATCTTCAGTCTCGAATACATATCTCAACACACGCTTCTAACGACCAAAGTCACTCATTTTTATGATCTTTTACATATTTAGAGAAGGTGGTGCAAAGTACTACTGGGATTTCTTGGCCAACTTATTTACTGTTAAATTGACTTTCTAGTGTACCCTTCATCGACTAATTTCCTGTGACAATTGACACTTATCATATTTTTGGATTAATTTCTTACAAAATTGATGGTAAAGTTACTTTGATAATATTTTTTAATGCAACCCTGACTCATGATAAGATCAACAAAGGAATTTCTCTAAGTAAAAAATGACACGAATTTTAAAGACTGAAAACATTTTAAGTTATTTTAGTAAATGCTTATAAGAACAAGGATGAAACTGAATTTGATAAGTCAATACAACAAGGTAAACAAAGTATTTCTATGAAAACTTCAGTGATTTCTCGCACTTATTATTTATAAAAACAAACATAGAACTTACAGTTTTAAAAAACATATTTTTGGCGTCCTTTCTCATAACAGCGTTTTTATTTTTATTTATTCTGTTTGCTGTTATATAGATTGTTTTAAGATTCCCGATATTTCAAGACAATAATGCGGAGGGCCTATGACCTTAGACGTTAAAGCACCCTTAATTATCATTATCATTGTTACTTACCTAATCTTCGAGACACAACATTGATTATTTATATCCTTAAGTGCTCAGATAAGGTTATGTTTCAATAGTCTTTTAGTTAAATGACTAGGAAAACATTATTAACCTTGGCACTAACATGGTCATTTAGTTTTCGTCTTCATTTGCCTGGTTGTCCTGACAACTTTGGATTTCCTGGATGGTTTTCGCAAATTTAATAGGCATACACAAAGATTAATATGATTATTTTGCGAAAGTATTTTCTCGCCTGTGATAAAACATAAATTCGCCGGGAAAAACCTTGCACAGTACACACATGTATATAGAGCATAAAAAATGTAGAAAATAATTAATCCGGTTTTCTATCCGAGGTCGCTCACGATACAAAGCAGTGTCGAGCTCAGTTCGGCGGGTTGCGACCTCGAGTCTCGAGTAGGCCTGTAGGCCTGTTAGGCCGTACCACCGAAAGTATGACTCTCACGTGGCGTCAGAGCATCTGACAAGAGGCACGTGCTCGTACGCTGCAAGGCGCCAATCCTGAATACTTTCCCTCCCGTCGGAAACTGTGGGACTGGCGACACGAGATGGTATTAGTTGTGTTCCGTACGAGACCCTGCTGAGCGCTGCCTGGGTGGAGGCATGGTCCGTCGGCTGACTATTTCGTTACCGATTGGCATATAAGGGTTTTTACGAAATGTAAGTGTAGAACTTGATACGAGTGTATCAAATCGTAAGAGATGGAACAATTGAGGTATGTAGGGGAATGTGTGTGTGTGTGTGTGTGTGTGTGTGTCCGCGCGTGTGCGCATGCGTGCGCGCGCTAGGAAGCCCTGTTTGTTTTTGAGAGGCTGGCAAGAGTTAGAAAGAGATGAACGACTGACGATTAAGCTGTGATATTTAAAGTGAAATTCTGGAAAAAATACACAATTAGTACCACTGTCAAGAGTTTAGAAGATTGGTAAAACATTGGGGAAGGTATTTGATAGAATTAATCGGTGGTTCAAGAATACGGAACAAAATATTCCCAGTGAGCAGATAACAGTTTGCAGATTGATTAGGCATCCAAAACTTACAATATATTTTCATTTTATTGAAAGTTTTTTTTTATTTGCCATCACCTCAAGCATGAGGTGAACGGTCAGCGATGGTGGGTAAGTGGAAAGCAGCGGCAGCTGAATTATATTGAAAATACCGCCGATCGCGGACGCCTACGGGCACATACACTGCAATGATAAATACTAGAATGATGCGGATTCTGTCGGCAGTTCCATTTGCATTTCAACATCACCGTCATAATGTTTTCTCAGAGGATGTGTTTGTACTCAGAATATACGAGTACAACATCCGACTCTTAGGATCTACTTCCACGTCTAGTTTTTCGGACTCCTAGCAACATCCTAAATTATTATTTCGTAGACGGGTAGTGTCGTAGTTGATCGCTTTGTTTGAGTTTCCATGACTTCGTGGTCAAATAGCGTTGTCCTCATCGTCAAACACGAGGTTGAGAAAAGGTAAGGACTTGTGTAACAAGGAATGTTTCTGGACCATTCTTGATCGGATGACATGCCCCTCTAAATTATATTTTAAAATTATAATAAATAAACTGATATTTATTTTTTTTACAAAAATATATTGATGCTAAGGGCTCGTTAAAAATAGTATTTTGTATTGACAAGAAATTTATACCTATAATGTTTTGTGTCTGGAACTCAGTGGAACTTCAATAAAGTGACATCTGTGCCTATACTAATATCAGCCACAGGAGTGATCCCGAAAATGACACTTCGAGCACTAGAGTGACTAGACTTCACTTGGATGCCAGAAAATTATATAATATGCAAAAGTCGGTAATTTTGAATACATTCCGTATTGTTAGAAGCCATCTGAATCTTTAATAAAGCAACCGTACACCTGGTCATCATTCCTGCAAGTGGTTGACATACCGACCGTAAAAACTGTGAAGAAAAAAATTGTAATAATAATAATAATAATAATAATAATAATAATAATAATAATAAGGCAATATATGAACCAAGTATATTAAGACAATATATATTCCAAGTATTTCTTGTTGCCAAATTAATTTAAAATATTCAAATACCTGAGATATTTATAAAATATCTTAATGGAAAATTCACAGCAATTGGAAAATTTAACTGTAACTATTAAATATTTAAGTAAATCCCTAGAGTTTTCTTACTCTTACTCTATCATTGAGAATGATAAGCAGCAGACGAGTTAGGCAGTAGGGCAGATATAATTATTTAAATATTTGTCATTACAATAGAGTAGGAAAAGTCATTTCTAATACTAAAAAGTTGATAAATCTTGCCTCTCTGCTACGATCTAAATGATATACAGTCAAAATTTACGTTTTTCGAGTCATTATGTTGAATGATTTACGTCAAAATTTGTGCCCGTCCGTCTGCCAGTGTGCCCGTCTATGGTGTACGTTAACGCCTAAATCATTCAGACGATTTTCTCTAAAATTCATGTTTCCCAATTGATTTAGTGAAACTGAAAACTCGCGAATTTGAAACGGATATTTTGATTTCTGGAAGTACTCTACTTGAAGCCTTGATAATATTATCAACATTTTCTAGAAATCAATTTTTTCTGGTATAGGACAAAAATGTCGCAGTTCTTGGCAAAGTTTAAAAAAGGTAGTAATTCTCTTTCTCGTTGACCCCTCTCAATTTTCGAGAATTGCATAAGTTACAAATTATGCGAGAAAGTATGTGATGTTGTAGCACCACTAGTTAGTATTAATCTACACCGATCCAATGTTCGGATTTAAAAACAGATCATTTAGAACAGAAAACAGAACACTAGTTGACCCGGTAATGCTTCGCTATTGCAATGTATTACACTGCAATGTATTACTCACGTGATGTTAATCAAGTTGTACGCCAAGCTCTGTAAAATATTTAATAGATGAAAGACTTTCTCGCGAGTATGCGTTTGTTCCAGGTCCTGGTTTGGACATGGTTTTTAATTATTCCCTTGAGGGAGAACTTGAGTTTGAATAGGTATACGCTATGACACTATGTTGGAGAAATATGATTTACTTGTCCGAGATAACGTTCAAGTAATAATTGCAGGCGATATTTCACATCCGCGGGGACAGAATATGTAGGGAAGACGCTATTAATAATTAGGATGCGGCGAGTTGCGTAGAGCTTCTGTTCACGGACGCTTGAGTCATAAACGCATAAATCGTTATCAACAACGCCCTCTTTTTCGTCCATGTGCGACAGACATACGCACATTCTCGTTGTACTTTGCCTAAAACATTCGCGCAAAGGCAATCAATAAAATGACAACATTTTATTTCAATCAGATGTACGATACGGCAGCGTATAAAATACGAACAAACAAATATTGATTTTTTATATATTAGATTACTATCAGGGTGAAAGCAGTGTTGCGAGGCGGCGTGAGTGGAGACTGCTGAATGGACCTTGGGGAAGACGGCGGGGGCGACCCAAGGGCCTAGGGCGTCGAAAGGGCGTCGGCCTCCGCGCGGCCACGCGGCCACGCAGTCTCCGGCGGCGGAGACCCCACGCACCGTCGCGGCGCCGCGCCGGCGACCTTGGCAGTGAGCGGGCGGCGCGGGCGGCGCGGGAGGCTCGGCGCACGTGCGGGCGGCGCCGCCGAGAGGGCAGCAGGGGTCGAACCGCAGCGCCAGCGCCGGCGCCCTCGCCCGCCCCCGCACAGCAGCGCCGCCCCACCCGGCCCTCGGGCAGCGCCCCTCCCACGCATCCAACCTCCCTCCGCCGCAGTCCCCACTGCGTGCCCTCCGTCTCTGCCAGGGCCTCTCCCACTCGTCTCGCGAGTCTCTTCTGCGAACCTTGGAAGTCGTTGCCATCTCCACTGGCAGGATCACTTCCTCTCTTGTATCGGTAGTCTTCGCTGCGTACCTTCGAAGTCGTTGCCATCTCCACTGGCAGGATCTCTCCCACTCGTCTCGCAATAGTCTCCGCTGCGTACTTTCGAAGTCGTTGCCATCTCCACTGTAAGGATCTCTCCCAATCGTCTCGCGGTAATCTCCGCTGCGTACCTATGAAGTCGTTGCCATCTCCACTCTCAGGATTTCACCCAATCTTCACGTTATATCATCCGCTGCATGCCTTCGACTTCGTTACCAAAGCCACTACTACATTCCCTCACTCTACACATTAGAGCCCATCCGTCTGCTTCGACATAGTTGATATCTCCAGTGGCAGACCTTTCTCGCTCAACATCTCCGCTACTTGCTTTCACAAACGTTTCCACTTCTACCGCCAGAATTTCACCCTGTCTAACTGCCTTCGCTTTGATCGACGTCGTTGCCACCTCCATCCAGAATCTCTGCCGTTCTATGAGTAACAGTCTCTGGATCATTGATGCAGTGCGCCCTAATAGCCACTGATGGAATACCTCCTCCTTATCCTTCGCCTGATTTTCCGGTGCTTCACTCACCATTTGCGCACAGTCGTCGTGTCCATCGACAGAAAGTCCTATAGTATTCCCCTCGCTGACATTTTCAACCAGTCGTACCCCCACCACTACCACTACCGCTGTCCTTATTAACCCATCCCTGCATATCTCTTCCGTCGAGAGCCCTGAACAATTAGTAATATTCCCATCCCCATTTCTGCTGCTTATCTGCAGGAGCTACCTTCGCGGACCTCTTGTCGCCCAACATCAGCTAAATCTTCCTCGCCGCCGCCACGATCTCTGCTATTGAAGTCACCGCCTCCACTATCATCATCGCTGAAACTGTCAGTGCCGACGTCACCGCCACCGCCACCATCACCGCCACCGCCATCACCACCTCCGCCATCACGCACGCCGCTACGATCACCACCGCCGTCATCAGAACACCACCTGTTTCATATCACCATCTGTTGTCTCCCGCAGCCGGTTCTTCCCGCCCGCCGCAGCTGACTCCGCAGCGCCACCCTCTTGCACTCCGCCAACCACAACCCCAATATTCACCTCCACGCACCAATTCGCCACCAAGACACGCCTACTAGTGATGTGACCTCCACACTCATCCCCACCGCCCCTGCCTCGCGTCTTCCGCCACTCGTTTATCACCGCCAGGGCACGCCCTCCGCCCGCACGCCCGCGGGCCGTTCGCCTCCGCCGCGCACGCCGCGCGCCGCGCAGCGCCGGCACGCGTCAGCGGACCGGAGCCGGACGAGGCGACGACGGCGGACGCCCGACGGAGTGCGCGACGAGGAGGCGGGACGGGCGACGCGGGAGCGGACGCCGACGTGACGACGGGAGCGGCGGTGAGCGACGGGGTCGAGGGCGAGGGAAACACAGCGAGGGCGAGCAAGGCGGAGCGGTGGCGGGCAATTGGCTGCTAGGGGGCGGCGTGGTCGCGAGAAGGCGGTGCGCTAAGGGCTCGAGGGGTGTCGGTCAAGGAGGCCGACGGGCGAGGGCTTGTAGGGCGGGGTTTGTGGCGAACGGCCGGCGGTCGACGATAGAGGCGGTGTGCCGGAGACGCAGGGCTCGGGGACGTGCCGGCGCCGGCTGCTCATGAGTGCAGTTGGGATGGGAGGGCGACGAGGAGGCCGACCGGCGACGGGGGCGGCGGGGTGAGCGACGGGGTGGGAGGGCGGGGCGCGGGCCGGCGCGAACCGAGGCGGCGGCGGGCAACGGGGATGGTAGGGCGGAGACGTGGTGAACGGGGCGGTCGCCGAGAAAGGGCGGGGTGCCGAGAGAATGGAGCTCCGGCGGGCGGGCGAGGCTACAAGGAGTGCGGGGCGGGACGAGGAGGGCGGGACGGGCGACGGGGCGGCGCGGGCGGGGCGACGGGCTGGTAGGGCGGGGCGGGCGTGGCTAACGGGGGTGCGGGGACGCGAGGGGCGCGCCGGGGTCAGTGGCCTCGCGCGGCGCGCCTCCGTGAGGTGGGTCCGGCCCCACCCAAAACCGCCGCGCCGCCGCGCCGCCCGCCCCGTTCGATCTCGCGCGCAGACGCCCGGCTGCAAGCGCCGCAGCAGCGGCGCCGGCGCGGGGCGGGGCGGGGCGCTGCTGCGTCCGCATTGCGTGGAACGCGTTGCCGCCGCTGCGTGCTTCCCTGGGGGCCGATGGTCACGATGCGGCATCTGCACTACGCCCGCCCTCCCTCGCGCGCACGCACGCTCGCACGGCGAGCCCCAACATAAATTTTGTTGTCTGCAGGCACGTGGGAGAGTTGCAGGGCCGTTCCTTTGAAAGTGATAGCTATAACTTCGTGTTTATTTTTTGGCAGTTACAAATGGTACGCTACTAATTTCGTGAACAGAATATTGAAAGTATCAATGCCCTCTCTACATAATATGCCAAGGGAAAATGACGAGTCTTTGGCAGTTTATAACACCCATGACAGGTTATAACAAGGGTTCCGCACTTCTATGCATCTTTCCGTTTCAGCGGCCAGGAGAGTTGCTTGACTACCGGTCGCTGTAATATTTATAAAATAATTTTATAACAAAATGTGTGGTGCAACAGCAGCACATCCATCTCGCATTATCTGTAATATTTCCGGTATATTGTAATACTACTTAGACCAACTAGCTTTTTTTAATTTAATTGCATAGAACTTGTGTTGTTTGTAGTTATTTATTTTGGCAGCAAAGCTATTTTTGACAGAAAAACTCGTATTCTAAATCCTTAAAAACCGAAAAAGAATAATATTTTACCATTTGATTACCAATCTAATTTCGCCGATCTCCATGAAAGTTATCACATCTATGTACATGTGTTTTCATGGAGAAGGCTTTTATCTGGTTCATTTTGTTGTAACTCCGCTTATGGCGTCGCGCACAAGATAGCGCTTCGGTTAAATATAATTCTCAAACTATATGGGCTTTATTGTTGGACGGCGTTGTCTCTGTCTCTGTCAGAGAGGAAGACAGAGAGACAAAAGAAAGAGACAGGGACAGAAATATACAGACAGGACCGGGAGAAAGAGAGACCGGGAGAGAGAGAGAGAGAGAGAGCAGGACGTCTACCGTCTTCTGATAGTATTTTATACATAGATCATTTTTCGGTATTAAGGACAAGCTCGTTCAATGGTTCTTTTGTTGATTCGTTCGTTGGATGGTTCGTTCGTTCGTTCGCTGCTTCGATTGTTGGTTCGTTCTTACGTTTAATCGAGCGTTCGTTGGTTCTATCGTTCTTCGGTAAGTTCGCTCGTTGGTTCGTTCGTTCATTGGTTCATTTCTTGGATCGTTCGTTGGTTCGTTCGTCTGTTCTTTTGTTGCTTCGTTCGTTGGTTCAGTCGTTGGTTCGTTCATTCGTGGGTTCGTTCTTTCATTAGTTCGTTTGTTTGATCGTATGTTTGTTCGATGGTAGAAACGTTTCTTGGTTTGTTCGTTCGTTGGTTTGGTTTGGTTTGGTTTTTGGTTCGTTCGTTAGTTCGTTCGTTCTTTCGATCGTTCGTTGTTTCGTTCGTTCGTTTGTTCTTTTGTTGGTTGGTTCGTTTGTTTGCTGGTTCAATCTTACATTGCTTCGTTCGTTGATTCGTTTTTTCGTTAGTTGGTTCGTTCGTTCTTTCGTTGCTTCATGTTCACTCATGTTTCATTCCTATGTTCTTCTGTTCGTTGGTTCAGCCATTGGTTCGTTCCTTCGTTTGTTGGTTTGTTCTTTCGTTCGTACGTTGGATCGTTCGTTGGTTAATTCGTTGGTTCGTTTATTAGTTACTTCATTGGTTTGTTCGTTTGTTTGTTGATTGGTTCGTTAGTTGGTTCGTTCTTTCGTGCATGGTCGTTCGATCGTTTGTTCGTTCGATCGCTGGTTCGTTCGATCGTTGGTTCCTACGTTGGCTGGTTTATTCGTTCGTTGTTAAGTTTGTTCGTAGGTTGGTTCGTTTATTGCTTCGTTGGTTCGTTCGTTTGATTTTCGTTTTTACGTTAATTCGTTGGTTCGTAGGTTCGTTGGTTTGTTCGATTATTGAATCGTTCTTTTGTAGATTCGATCGTTTGTTAGTTTGTTCGTTCGTTGCTCCGTTGGTTCGTTCAATCGTTCGTTCGTTTTTTTTTTGTTGTACGATAATTCCTTTGTTCGTTTGTTGGTTGGTTCGTTTGTTTGTTATCCGATTGTTTGTTTGTTCTTTGGTTCATTTGGTAGTACGTTCGTTCTTTGGTGCGTTAGTTCGTTGGCTTTTCTTTTTCTCGTTCTTTGGTTCTTTCGGTAGTTCGTTCCTTGGTTCTTTCGTTGGTTCGTTCGTTTGTTTTTTGTGCGCTTGTGGGTTCGTTCGTTCGTTGTTATTCGTTCGTTGGTCCGTTTGATCGTAGGTTCGTTCTTTGTTTTTTTCGTTAATGCGTTCGTTCTTTTGTTCATTCATTGGTTCGTTCGTTAGTTTGTTCAGCAGTTCGTCCCTTAGTTATCTCGTTGGTAAATTCGTTGGTTCTTTCGTTGATAGTTAATTGGTTTGTTAGTTCGTTCATTTGTTTGATTGATTGTTTGTCCGTTCGTTCGTTGGTTCCTTCGATCGTTTGTTTGTTCGTTGGTTACTTCGTTCGTTGGCTCGTACGTTGGTTTATTGGTTCGTTGATTCGATCGTTATTTAGTTTGTTACCTCGTTCGTTGCTTCGTTCGTTCGTTCGTTAGGTCTTTCGTTTCTTCCTTTTGTCGTTCATGCGTTGGTTCGTTCGTTCGTTGATTTGCTAATTGGTTGAGTAGTTTGATAGAGCGTTCGTGCGTTGGTTCATTCGTTGGTTCGTTCGTCGTTCGTTTATTCGATCGTTGGTTGATTCGTTCGTTATCTCGATTGTTAATTCGTTCGTTGATTCCCTCGTTCGTGTGTTTGTTTGATCGTAGTTCGTTCGTTGGTACAGTCGTTGGTTCGTTTCTTCGTTCGTTGCTTTATTTGTTGGTTTATTCGTTGGTTCATTCGTTGGTTCGTTCGTTGGTTTGTTCGTGGATTGTTTGGTTCGTTGGCACGTCTGTTTGTTCTTTGGTTACTTCGTTTATTCGTTCGCTGGTTCGTTTATTCGTGGCTTCGTTCGTTTATTCGCTTGTTGGATCGTTGGTTCGTACGATTCGTAGATAGTTCGTTCGTACTTTGGTTTATTCGTTCGTTGGTCCGTTTATTCGTTGGTTCCTTCGTTCGTTGATATGTTCGTTTGTCTTATCGTTTGTACAATAATTCGTTGGTACGTTTGTTGGTTCATTCCTTTGTTGGTTCATTCATTTGTTTGTTTGTTCTTTAATTCGTTCGTTGGTTCGTTTATTCGTACGTCGATTCGTTTGTTCGTACGATCATTAATTAGTTGGTTCGTCCGTCGTTGGTTCGTTAGTTAGTTGACTTGTTCGTTTACTCGTTCGTTTGGTCGTTGGGTAGTTCGTTCCTTGGTTCTGGTGTTGGTTCGTTCGTGAGTTTGTTCGTTCTTTCGTTCATTGGATCGTGAGTTTGTGCGTTTGTTTTTTCGTTCGTTTGTTCGTTTATTCATGGGTTCATTCGTTTGTTCGTTCACTCGATCGTTTGAGTCGTTCGTTTGTTGTTTCTTTGGGTGGATCGTTCGTTGGTTCGTTAGTTGTTTCGTTCGTTGCATGGTTGATTAGTTTGTTTTTTATTAATCGGTTCGTTCGTTCGTTGGTTCGTTGGTTAATTCGTTCGTTTCGTTGGTTCTATTCTTCGTTGGTGCGTTGGTTCGTTTTTCGTTCGACTGTTCATTTCTTGGTTCGGTTGTTGGTACGTTTGTGCGTTGGTTCGTTTGTTGGTCCGTTTGTTCGTTAGTTCGTTCGCGGATTCGTTTCTTCGCTCGTTGGTTAATTCATTCCTTAGTTCGTTGGATCGTTCATTGCTTCATTCGTTGGTTCATTCGTTCATTCATTCGTTCGTTTCTTCGTTCGTTGGTTTATTCGTTTGTTCGTTCGTTGGTTGTTTGGG